CTCCAGCCAATCCCACTCCAATCCCCCAGCATGCCAATGAGTAGGGCTGAATATGTGTCCTGTATGGGCAGTGACATGAAGACAAAGCCGGCTGATTTTGTCTTTTAGGCATGTTGATGGTTTTCTCAGTATACAAAATTTCTAGGATGAGAAAAAGGGACACCTTCCAGCACAATGTATTTAGACACCCTAACTATGTACTTGGACACACCCCAGCCAAGCTCCCTGTTCTGTGGACCATTAAGAATTTATATGCCAAAAATGATCGGTTAAACCCAGAATGGTTGATTTCCACCATTACTTTTCCTTTATACTGGCTTTTTAAAATAGCAAACAAGATAATAAAGTGATAAGATGAAGGTTTTAGTGCAGAATAACACTTTGAGTAGTAGCATAGAACACATTCATAGATATCTGTACATCAGACCCAAAAAAAGGGACAACTGAGGAGGAAACAGGGACAGAGGGGTCTGGTTCCAAATGAAGTAGGAGGGAGGTATGGGTATGGTATTTTTTATTTCTCTGTGGACACATTCTGGTTTGGAGAGGGCACAAGGTAGCTGACCTTCAAAAAGTGTAAATCCAGCCTTGTCAGTGTGACAGCCAGGTATCTAGCATTGTCCGAGATAGTGTTAATTAAAGATCCCCTGTCTCCAACTTAAACAAAAAGTTTAGGTACAAGCACAGAAAATTGAAGTTGTTTTGAATGCTTTCTTGAAGTTGTTTCCCTGTCCATAGATGATTTTTTTTTATTGACGTGCAATGCTCCTTTCAACTTGCTATAAAATGTGACTACCCCAGGTAGAGTCAATTCCCAAGCACAGCCCCCTCCCTCCTTTCATGTCATAGCCCTCTCCTCTTCTAGGAGGGTCTAATTACTGTCATGAAATGGCCATCTTTGCTGTGGGCAGGGTGGCAGTGCATCAACAAACCTCAATGTCGGCGGCCATTTTGGTTGTGGTAGCGGGGACGCACTGAGCATGCGCAAGATGGCCGTCGGCAATTAGCTTTTTTGCCAGCGGCCATCTTTTTGGTGGTAAACTGCTCCACAAAACAAGCATCATCATCCTGCGTGCTTCTGGCACCGTGTCCATGCACTCGCCGTACGGACACTTGCGCACTGTCTGTATGGCAAGTGTACAGTCACGGCGGCGCACAAGCATCATCACCCCGTGTGGGGTGATAACGCTTGCTGAGAGGGCACCTTTAAAAAATGTTTGCGATTCAACGTTGCAAAAAAAATATTAATGAAAGGGCTGGAGGTAGGTGGTCCCTGATCAGGACTGTAATGGCTTGAGATTGGATACTGTTCGGTCCAGCATGTGAGAATGCTGATTTTGCAATTAGACACTCCAAACCAAGGAGACGGTGGAGATCCTTTGGATTGTAGAAGCTGCCAGTCCGGTCATCACATCACCTATACGGAAGCTTTCACAACATAATTGGCCAGTCACACCAACAGGCTATACCTTGTGGGTCCATCACTTTGATTCCACTTATTTTCGGAACCTGAATTGGAGTTTCAGGATAGCTGCTGACTATAGGTGCCCATACACTGTGCGGTTATCGCACGATAATCGCGGGAAATCCCACGATCGTACGATAATCGCAAAGCGTATGGCAGGCGTGCGACCGTATTTACTGTACGGTCGCACGTCTTTTGTCTAAGGAGCATGTTCGAAAACCACAAAAAGGTTTGTGGCATGCTCGGGAGACAAATGCCGAACGGGCCGGTGTGCGTATGCGCACACTGCCCTTTCAGTATTGCGGTCATCGCAAGCCCGCCCGATGATCGCAAGTACGATCTGCCTGTCCAAGATGGGCAGATCTTACGTTTTTTAAAGTACTTTACAACCCTCGCAAGACAAAAGTCTTGTGAGGGTTGTAAAGTGTATGGGCACCTTAAGTGTTACATTGACTGTACCTCACCAGATTCACTTTGTATCATCAGTATTAAGCATGCCACCTAGTGTTCTCATTTATACTGTGCAGCTTATAACCTGCTTTTGCAGATCTTATATGTGTTATTATCTAATAACTGCATAGCTCCAGGGGAGTCCCTACAATTTTAGCAGCCTGAGGCTGGGAGGGGAGTGGTAGGGCTGCATGGTACCTCTGTCCGGCGTCCCACCCAGCTCAATGGAGAATGGCAACCAGATAGCGGGGGCGGCAGGGTTGGTTTGACCTTTTTTAGATTTTTTTTCTTTCATTTTTATATCACTTTTTATTTATTTTTTATATTTATTTTTTTCTTTACTTTTTAAAATTTGTGTTTTGTTTTATTATCTTTTACCTTTTTTATATATTTTTTATTTTATTATTCTTTACTTTTTTATCACTTTTTTTGATTATAATTATTATTTCTTATATTTTTTTTCCTTATTTTTAAAAATGTTTCATTTATTTTACTATATTTTACTGTTATCAATTTTTATTTTATTATTTTTTTCACTTAACTTTATTGCTATCCCACAGGAGTTAACAAGCTTACAGCCTAGCCGTAGGAACGGAACTCGCTCGTTGTTCCGTTGAGGAGTCTCTAATAAAAAAACTCACAAAACCCAAAAAACTTTATGTTGGACTTCATTAGAAACATACTCATCTCATATAAGCTTTTTTTTTTTTCTTTACACCTTGTGACAACCATGTCAGCCAGGCTAGGATCAGTAAAAACAAGAAGATGTTCTGTGCAGAAGAGGTGACCCCAGCAGGGCATACTTCACAACTTTCTATGATGAGAAAGAGGGACACCTTTTAGTACAAATGATGTAGGGTGCACCCCCTGCCACCCCCCAATTACACAGACCATGAAGAATTCACATATAAGAAATGACTGGTTGTTGTTGTTGTTTTTGTTTGTTTTCCAAATAACAAGTGGAATCATTTAGCTGCGGGATGAAAAGTCTAGTGTAGAATAACAATTGTAAGCGTTGAAGCAGATCTCTGGGCAAAAACTGTTTTTAACCCTTGCAGTGGGTCAGCCCCCCACACTACAAGAGTTAAGTGCTCATTTTGGTCTGGGTGCTAAAATAAAAAAAAGGTGGCCAGCTCTAAGACCGGTCCCCGGAGCCTCTCTACCTTTCCGGTGCAGCGGTCTAAGGGTGCCCATACACCTGCCGATTATCGGGGTGATCGTACGATAATCGGCAGGTGTATGGAAGGCGTGCGACCGTTTCTACTGTACGGTTGCATGTCTTTTGTCTTCCGAGCACGCTTGAAAACCTGCCAAAAATCATACGATACGGGATACGGGTTAGTGGCATGCTCGGAAGACAAATGCCGAACGGGCCAGTGTGTGCAAGCGCACACTGCCCGCTCAGCATTGGAATCATCGCAAGCCCTCCTCTCAGCGGGGAGGACTTGCGATGATCACAAGTACGATCTGCCTGTCCAAGATGGGCAGATCGTACGAGATTTGAATTACCTTACAACCATCGCACAGCAAAAGTCGTGCAATGGTTATAAGGTGTATGGCAACCTTAAGGTCCTGTGAGTCATTACATTCTATACACAGTGTATAGGATGTGAGGACGCTGAGGGACATACCATGGGTGCAGTAGAAGCTGGAGGGAGCGCTGTGACATTCGGCTGGTGGGGAGAGCTGCCTCTTCCGGGTCCTGCAGCAGCCCCCCCAGTGACGTATGCCCACTATGAGTCCCTCCTCCTGCAGCCAGACAGACTGCAGGAGCAGGAACACCTCATTCTTGCCTGGGCGAGAAATGCGACGGATGGGGGGCGGCCAAAAAATAAGTGAGCAAACAAAAATTGATGTTAGTCTATTGCTGGTGAGGAGGGGAAATTGCAAGAAGCTAAAGTGGATCTGGGAAGTGAAGGTCTGCTTTAATCTTAAATAAATAAATAAATGAATAAAGTGGGAGCAGGCAAGTCCTTTATTGTCATTCCTGGCCGGCCAAACAAGATGGCCGAAGATCCCAAACCCGGAAAAAGTATTTATCGGCACCGGTAAGTTTAGTTGTGGACCTTTACCCCCTTTTACTAAAAATCACATCAGCATTCAGCTATGCATACTGATCTACAATCATCTTACATTCATTAAACAAATACAGTTTTATTTTACTTTCAATTGTTGTTTTTCCTCTTCCTGGTCCTCTAGGGCATTAGTGATGTAATCGGTGCCCAAGCATTGCATCCTGGGAAGGTTACATCAGCAGAGCATTGCTGGGAAATCTCATCTGTAATCTCACGAGATCTCAGGGAAAGGCATTTTCCTCCCCTGAGATGATGTGCATGGTCAGATGTGCATGGTCACATGTGCCAGAATTCCAGGAAGTAAAGGGAGAGCTAGTAACCTGCCCTTAGTAAAAAATGGCCACTGTGAGAAGACTGGGGAGGAAAAGAAAAATAAGGTATGCAAAGAATACAAAGCCGGCAATTATAAGTATGTGTTTGTAGATAATCATTACTAAACATTTCTAAAGGTGTATTTGTTGTCATGTCAAAGATATGGATAAAGTTCCTTTAAAGCTATTTCCGAATTAATAGTTCCATAGAAGAAAAGTAAAAATCGCTCTGGTCCATGGGAGGCGGGGTGGTTGGAGGGTGGGGGTGTACAAGTGGGAAGAGATAGATCTGTCAGGTATTTAGTGCTATCTTCCTGCTGCTGAAGAGATTTTCACTCACTTCCTGTACTGAAAACACAACAGGAAGTGAGAGGGAATTCCGAAAAAGTTAAATTCAACAGAGATAACATGACTTCCCGTGGAACGCTAGCCATGAAAAATTGAAAATTGTGGCTACTGTTCCCCTTTATAAGATGACACAGCCCTTATTTTTAAGTAGGAATTATGACAGCCCCCATAGTGTTTTGGGATTCCTATGAAGATTTTGTCATCTGTGTGGCCTAACATGAATCAGCTGGATACCATATGAGCAGTCTGAGCTCTATGACACCACTGCAGTGCACGGAAATATGGCCGCCAAGAGACAAAGTGACTGGGGGAGATTTGGCCTCTAGTGAACAGACTGCGTCCACCGGAGATTCGCCTGACGGGAAATGACGTAGGCGACATCATCAAGGCTGCTGGCCAATCAGGAAGTAGTTTACCACCGAGGGCAAGTTAGAGAGAGACGGGAGGGGGACATCGGGGTCCGGGGACATGAGGCGGTGACACGGTATGTGCAGGTCGGCCGGTGGCTGCCAAAGGTGTCACACCGTGCACCATGAATATTGACGTGGAGTTCCACATACGACACAACTACCCCTGGGCCAAGCTGCCGGCCAACGTCAAACAGGTGAGGAGTTGGGCTACTGTCACCTCCATCATTTGCCTGGCCCCACCCCCAGCTTGTGTCCCTCTGTCACCTGGCTATGACACCTCCTCCCTCACCTGAGTCTGTTTCCACCTGCATCACCGTCTACATCACCTGAGCCTGGCCCCTCCTTCGCGTGTCCCCACCTCCAACATGTCGCCCCATCACCTGTACCCCACTATCACATGTTCATATCCCTACCTTCATTACTGTCCTGTCCCCTCATTAAAGTCCTTCTTCACCTGTGCCTATCCCCTACTTCATGACCTGTCCATGTCACCTCTTCCACCTGATCCTGTCCTCACCTCCTGTCACCTCTTCCATCTGATCCTGTCCTCACCTCCATCACATGCTTACCTCCTATCACCTGTCCAGGTCACCTCTTCCACCTGCTCACCTCCTATCACCTGTCCAGATCACCTCTTCTACCTGCTTACCTCTTATCACCTGTCCAGGTCACCTCTTCCACCTGATCCTGTCCTCACCTCCATCACCTGTGCCCCCATCACTTGTCCCTGTCACTTCTGACACCTGATCCTGTCCTCACCTCCATCACCGGTGCTCCCATCATGTGTCCATGTCACCTCTTCATGTCTCCTCTTCCATTTGAGCTGGTCTTCACCTCCATCACCGGTGCTCCCATCACCTGTCCATGTAATCTTTTCCACCTGTGCCCCCATCACCTGTCCATGTCACCACTGACACCTGATCCTGTCCTCACCTCCATCACCCGTGCTCCCATCACCTGTCCATGTCTTCTTTTCCACCTGAGCCTGTCCCATTCTCCATCACTTGTATAAAAAGAATTCTGCGCTTTTGAAACCAACTATAAACAATCAACCCAAGAGCTGCTGTGAAAGAAAGGGAAAGGTCCCTTTAAAGCAAATATAGAAAATTGACACAGCGCTAAAGGTGAAATACAAACAAAGGTGTGTGTATATATATAGTGATGGTCTAACGTAGAAAATGGGTAAGCATAATCTAATAAAGGTGGAATAATGGGTGGAAAAAAGCGAAGTGAAATCAATAGATAAAAAGTTCAGATACAAAACTAAACTGAATAAACTAAAGTGTGCTAACAACAAGTTAACCGTGAAAAAATATCAAACAGTGTAGCCTGTGAGAGGCAATTTCTCCAAAGGTGTGATTGTAACAAACAATAAATATAATCAGTGGTAAGATGATACTTAATATCAATCATCACAAATAATCATCAATCAACGGTGAAAAAATATCAGTTGTAGGTTGATAATAAATAACAGCCCCAAGGTGAATTCTCAATTATCAGTGGAAAGGTGACAGTGTTCAATAAGCAAAAATTTTGACGCGTTTCGTCACATGACTATTTTAAAAAGAAGACTTTTTTAAAGTCATGTGACGAAACGCGTCAAAAGGGCAGATTTGTTTGACACATGGGATGTGTCAGTTGCTATTTTTGAGAGTTTTTATCCATTGTCCGGCCGGCTGTCAATCAGGAACCTGACAATATTATTGGGATCTTTCCCAGCTGCAGCGCAGATTTGCGCTGTCAGCGGATAGTAGCCTTCTAGATTCTAATTTGGGTCAACTGGGTACATTAGTAAATGTGCTCCTTTTGACCAAAAAGAGGACTAAAGCCAAAAAAAGGTTTGTGTTTAGTTCTCTTTTAACTTTAGCAGACTGATTTATAATGCTTTGCACTACTACCACTAGATGGCGCCTGTGGGGATAGGAATTGCCTATGCTCCTCCTGGCAGTAGTGCTGTGAGAACGGCATATAGCTGGACAGGAGAGTTCTAAATCAGCCCCCTAGGTGTGTATGGCTGTATGACTGGGGCAGATTGTACTTCTCATTGATGACAGAGACTATTGTGGTTCTGTGTGAAATGATGTATGTTGCCTCTTTATATATCTCTTATATATAATAATATTCAAGAATGAGTAATGTCTTATATGCTGTTGATTAGTTCTTCTGCCTTCTCTGTTCATTTCACTTATGAGGTCTGTGAGAGCTGTCAGATTAGAGCGGAACTGAAGCCCGCAAATACTCCCCTCTGCTCCATCAATGTGGGGTCTGCGAGCTTCCTCGCTGTTGCTGGGGTCTTCTACACGGCTACTTTCGGATGCCAGGTCTTCTGTCATCTTGATTGGCCAGCATGGGGTGACATAACTCCCACGCATGTGCATGGGGTGACATAACTCCCACGCATGGAGTGACATAACTCCCACGCATGTGCAGGGGGTGACATAACTCCCACGCATGGAGTGACATAACTCCCACGCATGTGCATGGAGTGACATAACTCCCACGCATGTGCATGGGGTGACATAACTCCCATGCATGTTCATCATGGGAATTCATTCAGTCCGGCATTGAAGCAAGCTGAGAATGTACTCATGTACATGAGAGTTCATTCAGTCCGGCATGGGCGCATGCTGACAATGTACACTAAGCTGTGCATGTGCTGCTCACTGTACATTTTGAACAGGCAGGCGAGTTTGTTTTCTTGCAGAAGAGATCTAGCATTCACAATTTTCTACTCTTCAGCTTCAGTTCTGCTTTAACCCCTTCATGACTGAGGCCCTTTTTTCCATTTAAGTCACGAAGGGGTTAAATCCTCTTATGACTGCTGTATACTGGAGATCCTTTAATGCTCTTCTGTACCTTTTCCTTATACATGAGACAAGTAATTGCTCTTCTAATTGTTTTCTTTCCCCAGAGCCTTGGAAACTCTCAGAAAGACTACGAGAAGCATGTTATCCTGTACAGCATTCGTAACCAGCTGAGATACCGCAGTAATTTAGGTAAGGAGTGCGCTGAGGACACAGCACAGTTTGTACAGAAGTACACAGCCGGATCAGGATCCAGTCATGAATTCAGGATTAACGAGGCCGTTTTATAATTTATTGGCCAGAATAGAATGCTTCAAATAACTGAAATGGTTTTCATAATTGAACCTGCTGCTGTATAGGGCACAACAATATCTTCATTTAAAGTGACACTAAACTCAGTAGTTAAATCTTAAAAGTGCATTCAAGTATCCTAACTATTAATAAAAATTAGGGCTGGTAATGATTAAAATTTTCATGTTCGCTGGGCTGGGTCACCACTTGGGGAAGGGGGGGACTCCTCCCCTTCCCCAAGTGGTGACCCGACCCACCCCATGTGTACATGTCAAGCTGCAAACAATCTTGTATGTGTATAGGCTCCATTGGCTAACGAAGGGAAGAGAGGGAGGAGTCACCGGACTCCTCCCCCTTCCCTTCGTTAGCTGTCACGGACATCGACGTGACCAGACTCCTCCCCCTCTTCCCTTCGTTAGCCGACAGAGCCACTTGGGGAAGGGGGGAGGAGTCCGGTGACGTCGATGTCCGTGACGTCACCGGATTTGCGACGGAACTCCCGGAAGAGGTGAGGTGAGTACCGATCAAAAAAATTAACGATTAATCGAGGGCTTAATCGTTAATTTCCGCAGCCCTAATAAAAATGTATCTTATTTGTGTATCACTCGGCTGTAGATCCTCAAATCATCTCTGAATTGTTGCTGACACTGTCCTTCCTTCTGGAGGGTGGCTACTTTTGTTCCCCGTGTTCCCTGTGTGTGTTGTAAAGTAGTCACCACTCCAAGCTGGCTCCTGTGATGGACTCCGTTCCTCCATTGTTGACTGGAGGGACAGACAGGAGAGGGGGCGGGCACAATTGGCACTGGCTCTGGAGAGGCAGAGCCTGATGTGGATCCCAACAATATTGGGTGTTTCCCGGCTGCATCGTGGCTCTGCGCTGGCAGCATATAGCGGACATTAACCCGCTATATGCTGAGTTTTGGGTCACCTAAAGAGAAAAAATGTTTGGTCATAGTTCTCTTTTAAAGGTGGACATGGTAGCACTAGAACAGTGGTTCTCAACCTGTGGGTCGGGACCCAAAAGTGGGTCGCAACCCACAGTTGAGGGGGTCCCCACGTGCCCTGTGCTGCTCTAGGTAAGAGGCTCCTCAGCCTCCTCCTGGGGTGGCAGTGTCAGTTCTCCTAGGTGGCGCTGCAGCGGCCGGAGAGGATCAGAGAGAGGGGAGCAGGCAGGAGTGAGGGGAGGTGAATGCTCGATCACCATAGAGCCCACAACTAGGCACTACAGAGCCCGCACTGGACGCCACCAGAGAGTCCCACTAGCCACCTGAGAGCCCACACAGATTGGTGCACAGTATTGGTGCATCCCTAAATTTTACAGTTGGAGGTCACCACAACTTGGCAAATGTTACCAAGGGGTCCCGGCCCTAGAAAGGTTGAGAACCACTGCACTAGAAGGTACCAGGTATTACATTTCAGGGTATAATCTGCCTCCTCATGCTGCTGTTTAAACCCGCGTAGAAAGTATGAGAATTTGGACTTTCTGAAAGTTGGTATTTTCTTGTGCCTGTCCCTGTGCCCCACTCAGGTGTGGATGGCTGCTCATGAGGGGGTCTGAGGTAGTAGGGTGTGCCTACTCTTCTCATGTCCGAGAAATTGGAATATTTATGCTGGCTCCAGGCAAGTTTTAGGAAGCTTATTGTATCGTAAAAGGTAGAATCTGGCTTTCTTTAGTGATTGCTTTCTAGAATTTAGCTTGGCTTTGTCTCCAGTACAAGTTTTCTTCAAACCTGAATCAACATGTTCAAGGGCAGGCTGTGTTTACTTTACAGCTCTGAACACGCCACAATGGGATCATACAATATCCAAAGTATTTCCAGACAGGCAGACTGCTTCCGTGTCCACGGTCTCCATTGCCACCACTGTGGAATTCTTATCGAACAATTCCTTTTTTTTATACAATGCCTGGCCAAAAAAGAAAAAAAAAGTCGCCACCTGGATTTCGGGCAGTGTTATGATCTGGGGTTGCTTCAATTGGTTAGGTCTAGGTTCAGCAATCTTATGTGCCCATAAATTGAGGTCAGCTGTCTACCTGAATATACTGAATGACAGGGTTCTTCCATCAATGGATTTTCCTCCACTGATGGCACATTGGTCATATTCCAAGATGACAATGCCAGGATTCATCGGGCTCAGATTGTGAAAGAGAGGTTCAGGGAGCATGAGACATCATTGTCACACATGGATTGCCCACCACAGAGTCCATAACTTAACCCCATTGAGAATCTTTGGGATGTTCTGGAGAAAGACTTTACGCAGTGGTCCGACTCTCCCATCATCACTACAAGATCTCAGTGAAAAATGAATACAACTCTGGACGGAAATACATGTTGTGACATTGCATAAGATTATCGCAACAATGACACGGCGAATGCGTGCTGCAATCAAAGCTAAAGGAGGTCCAACTAAATATTGGAGCATGTGACTTTTTTTTGGCCAGGCAGTGTATATTCCCTTCTCTGTTCGTTTCTCACGGTAAAGGGATTGGACCTTTTATGTATTCTTAACTGATAATTCTAATTTGAATAATAATGAGAGAATTGCAGTGGGCATCTAAGATAACAACAGTCATCAGATATAAAGACCTGCGCCTTCAAGGAAGCAAACCTGATAGAGTCTAACAAAAGTTCTTTGATTCCATTAATTGTTAAAACGCACAAACAGCCGACGGTAACATCATTAGGACCGCTAATGCGTTTCAGCAAAAAAAACCTCAATCGTAACTAAAGGGACCTCTCTGTTTCGCAGACCTACTTTAAACTATGAGAGCTGTGCTGGCTCATGGAGCTGAGTGCTGGGAGTTTTACATTGAATTACCCCTCCCTGGTTGAAATTCTGAAAGGATCCTCTCTCCCCACATATCATTTGCCCTGGCATACTGGATTTCTTTGCCTCTCTGCCCTGTGTTTCGTTCTCTAAGGCGAGAAATTGCAGGAGCAAATTGAGCCTTACAATGTCTTCCTCATTGAACATGATGCACAAGGATATGTATACTCCAAAAACAACAAACAGACCTGCACATAGATTCGACTGGATAGACCAGTGTCTTTTTTTTTTTTTCCCCCCAACCTTGACTACTGTGTAAGGTGATGGCGGGTAAACAAGTGACATGATCAGGCAACAAAAATGATAGACCAAGGGAGCCTTCTTTTAGCTGAGTGCAATGCCGGGGCACAGATCCCATTTAGAAGCTTTCTGCCAACGTCCTTCTTTTAGCCCTGGTTCACAGCTCGGCGTTTTTGAGCACAGCTTTTAGCTGCCCACCACAAGAAATCCCATGATTTTCAATGGCCCTGGTTCACACCTGAGCAGAAAAATGCCTAGCGGGGAAACGCCAGACGCCTGAAAAGATACAGGAGCTTCTTTGTGCATTTCAAAGCGCTTTCCCTCCCCATAGACTTCATTGGAAATGGCCAAAAATGTGCAACAAAAGCATGTTGCACATTTTCGTGAGCGTTTTTGTGCGTTTATACGCGCATACTTCCATTGCCAACAATGGTTTGTGAGCTGCCAATCAAAACCTGCGTCTTAATGTCAAATGTGCACAACGCGCAAATAACCGCATGCTGCTAACGCGCGTAAAAACGGTGCTGCTTTGGTGCGAACCAGGGCTTATAGGAACACCAGCTGCTGATCGTTCACTTTTCTTAGGGTAATAGTTGCTGCAGTCCTTCTGCAGAGGAAGCTAGGAAGCTATACCTATGTTGTACTCCTCAAGTGATCTACACCAACATTGGGATAACCATCCTCCACCTCTGAATACACATTCAGACCTTGTACTCCGAGCAGTCAATAAAGATAATGACTTAATAACTGGCCTAGCACACCTAATAGGACTTTATAGGACGACGTTGCTTTTCTTCACCTTGACCTACAAAAGTCCGGTGAACGTTCAGCAGCATTAGGATTGTCTGGAAAATCTGAGGGCCTCATGCATTTTTTTTTTTTTAAACTTCTTTTTTTCACATGTTTTGTTTATTTTTTTTAATTTAACTTTATTGCTTTTGCACGGGGGCTAACGAGGTGACAGACTTTATAGAGCCTGCCCTCCAATACAGAAGATCGAGCACAGCATTGTGTTGAATCTCCTGTGCAGCCTGGCTTGTGACAGCTGAGACAGGAAGTGCTGAAGACACAGAGTAGATCAGAGAATGGACGTTCTCCTGTCTGCTGCCCGCTCTCCATCCTGAAATTATTTCCGTGGTCCTGGATCCCCCAGAAGAGCGGGGGACCCCGAAAACCACAGCGGGGACGAGGGTAAATTAGGGAATAGTTAGAAGCCGTGTCAGGCTTTTTCATTCTGAGCCATTGGTGAGATTTTCCTTCACTTCCTGTTCTGGTAATAACATTGTCACCACGGCAGGAAGCGGGGGAGATCCCTAGTGGGATGAGACAACCTGCAATTTCCTCTGCTTCCTGTTCTGTTCCATTGTCACCATGGCAGGAAGCCGGGGATATATCGAGCGGGATGCAGCAACCTACAATTTCCTCTGCTTCCTGTTCTGGTAATAACATTGTCACAGTGGCAGGACGCGGGGTAGATCTCTAGTGGGATGAGGCAACCTGCAATTTCCTCTGCTTCCTGTTCTGGTAATAACATTACTACCATGGCAGGAAGCGGGGGAGATCTCTAGTGGGATGAGGCAACCTGCAATTTCCTCTGCTTCCTGTTCTGGTAATAACATTGTCACCATGGCAGGAAGTAGATGGGGGTAGCTCCTACAGTATCAGGAACCTGAAAACACCTGTGGTTCCAGCCTTTGCGCCACCCTAAAGTGAGTGTTTATTGCCATTGTGTCCTCGTTGGAGAGAGAGATCCCCTTGCTTCCTGATCTGGTGACAACCTTGACAGAAGTACAAGAAATAAAGCAATATCTCCTGAACCATGTCACGGACCGCTAAAAGAAAACTTGACAAGGGTTCTAACCATCCCTATTCCATCTATAAACTAAAGTTTTGGCTGGACATAGGCTTTCAGATTTCATCTTTTTGGCTATAATATTATTAGCAGAATGTTAAATGTTGAATTATATAAAAAACTGCTGCAACAGCCGTCCTCTTCAGCCCTGGTGTCACCAACATATAATGTGTTGTCTTCCAGCTTGTCTCCACGGTGGTGCCTAGTAATCCCTTTCTTTCTGATCAGCCCCCTCTATCCTGACTAGAGCAGCCTACTGAAAACCCATTTAATGTACCACTGCTAGAGGATTATGTTCTGAACTGTTTGAGGAGCTGTAGGGATTCTTGTTGCTAGACAATTAAGCTGTGGTTTTGCCAACTCTGTGGTAGGCCTATAAAAAGCAAGCAATGGCGTTTTAGTGCTAAATTCCTGAGTATGATTCACATGGGGAGAGACCGTGCGGCGGGTTATAGAGTGTGTGTGGTGGTGGGGGGCGGGCTGATCTTGCATTGTTTTACATTGCTAGATGATAGACAACCTATAGCCACGGACAAGGCTGAGGAACTACAACACTCAGCAAGCTATGAGTCAGAGGTTGCACAACACTGTTGCTATTTTTATTGGGAAACTTGCAGATATTTTTTTTTTGTTAATCATCAGTTGGAGGCTTTTTTATTAGATAGACAAGCTTCTTAAAGTGAACCTTTATCTTCAAAATAACAACAAAGGCACCTTTAGAAATGTTTAGTGATGACAATCTACAGACACATACTTCTAGATAATTGCCGGCTTTGTATTCTTTGCATATCTTATTTTATCTTTTCTTCCTCCAGCCTTCTGACAGTGGCCATTTTTACTAAGGGCAGATTACTATATCTCCCTTTACTTCCTGGAACTCTGGAACATGTGACTAGGACATGTGACCATGCACATCACCTCAGGGGAGCATAATGCCTTTCCCTGAGATCTGATGAGATTACAGATGAGATTTCCCAGCAATGCTCTGCTGATGTAACCTTCCCAGGATGCAACGCTTGGGCACAATTACATTTGTGCCAAAGTGGACCAGGAAGTGGAAAAACAGTATTTGTAAAAGAATTGTAAAATTAGATAAAAGAAAAATGTTTGTTTAGCTAATGAATGTAAAAGGATTTCATATCTGCATGCTGATGTGATTTTTAGTCAAAGCGGATAAAGGTTCACTATAAGGTGGGGAGGAGTTCTGTAGCCATAATGCACAACTGTGCTCCTTCATTAATACGGTACAGTGAGTAAGTGTTTTACCCTGAGACAGGAAGTGTGTTACTGGCAGGATCACCAGGAAGAACAAAGCAAAAGATGTGAACATGGAAGAGCAATGTCATAGGAAACAGTTCCTCACTATTATTTAACATGTAACAGTGTTCTATAATGTATGGATACATAATATTGTTGTTGTTTTCTGTGTTTACAGTGAAACATGTGAAGAAAGATGAGCGGAAATATTATGAAGAACTCCTGAAATACAGCCGGGAGCACATGATTCTCTATCCTTACCATCTGTCTGACATCATGGTGAAAGGTCTCCGGATAACACCTTTCTCCTACTACATAGGGATAATGGAGGTATAGATATATATGTATCCAGCCACTTGTGTCAGGAATGGAAAAGTTATAGTGAACCTGTTCTCCAAATTTTACAAGTTCCATCTAAGAGCAGACCTCCTGATACCCAGTATTACTTTTATTTGCCACAAAAGCTCTTGTGTGCCCTTCTCTGGTTTATCTGCACATTGTTATGGGGCCTGATTTCTCTGAGTTGATGGCTAAGCTGAATGAAAGTTGCTTTCTTTGCTGTCAATTTCCAGGATGAGTTTTGCTGCTTGTTAAGAAAGCGTAATACTTTAAAATAGGGATGCACCGATACCGATACTAGTATCAATATCGGTGCCGATTCCGAGTATTTGGGCAAGTACTCGAACTTTCCCAAATGCTCCGATGCCTAGCACGAGTACTTCCGGTATCAGGAAGCCGGGCAGCGCGTCATTACACGCTGCGCGGTTTCGCGATTGACCGGACGCTGGCCTCGTGAGGTAAGGTTACCTTACCTTTAGTATGTGTAGCCTGTCATCCCCCGGGGCCTCTCCAGCGAGAATGCGGCCTTCGTCCGGTACCCAGCCCGAGCCGTCCAATCAGGAAGCCGGGCGCCGTGTAATGACGCGTAGCCCTGCTTTCTGATTGGCCGGGAAGCTGGCTTCATGCTCCCTCGTCATCTCATGAAAAGAGAGCATGGAGCCGGCCTCCCGGCCAATCGGAAAGCAGGGCGTTGCGTCATTACACGGCGCCCGGCTTCCTGATTGGCCGGCTAGACGGCTCCGGCTGGGTACCGGACGAAGGCCGCGTTCTCGTTGGAGAGGCCCCGGGGGATGACAGGCTGCACATACTAAGGTAAGAGGGTACTTTTTTTGTTAATCGGGAAGCCGGGTGGCGACTCTTTACACGCTGCCCGGCTTCCCGGCTAATCAGGAAGCCAGGTGGCGAGTCATTACACGCCACCTGGCTTCCTGAATGGGACTTCCGTTACTCGGTAATTGGTATCGGCAAGTACCGGAAAAAATTATCGGTACTCGTACTCGGTACCAAAATACCGGTATCGGTGCATCCCTACTTTAAAACATTATTTAAACTCACGAACAAAAATTAATTAAAGGGATTGAAGGCCTGCGTTATGAGGATCGCATTCAAAATCTAAACTTATTCACCTTAGAAAAGAGGCGATTAAGAGGGGACCCTACTGCAGTCTTTAAAATCATCAATGGGGACCCCAATATTCGGAACAAACTGTATCATCTCAAAACTGTATTAAGAACCCGGGGACACAACAAGAGGTTAGAAGAGAGGTGGTTCAATCTTAGAATTCGTTGGTGGGTATTTCACTGTGAGAGTGGTGAAAGATTGGAATTTCCTAACGCAGGCGGTGGTATCTGCGGATAACATTGATCAACTCAAGAAACTTCTGGATGAGTTTCTTCTTTTGCAGAATCTACAGGGATATGGGAAGTATTAGAGCCAGATAAACACACACATGCACACTCACACTCGCATAGGTTGAACTGGATGGACCCTTGATCTTTATTCAACCTTACATACTATGTAAACAAATTATTATATTGCTGCTTATTGATCCCTTGATATGGTGGCTGCTTTAGTTCTCTTTATCTCCCTCTTGTGAAACCTACCAATCTCCCCACCCACCAGTCTGGGTGACAACCATGGCCTCCCTCATTGATACCATGGAGGAGTGAGCATTGTCACTCTAGGACCCGAAGTGTTTTACTGGCAGGATCACCAGAGGGGCTGACTTATAAACAGTGTGTAATGAGCAGCAGTGGATATCAAAAGATGTCACCAGCACACCAATTAGAGAGTGATCAGCAAAAGTCAATTTTAATGAAAAATTGCCATTCAATTGCAAGCGCTTTCGGGGCTTCAGGGGGTCCCCTTCATCAGGCTCGGAAGTGCAGCAGGATAGAACTATTTATAATGAGCAGCAGTGGCGCCTGCTGATTTAAACAGGGGAATTTATCAAAACTGGAGCAGACAGAATCTGGAGCAGTTGCACATGGCAACCAATCAGCATCTCTCTGTCATTTTCAAATCTTAACTGAACAAACTGAAGAGAGAAGCTGATTGGCTGTCATGGGCAATTGTTCCAGATTCTGTCTGCTCACGCTTTCATAAATTCCGCCCTCTTTTGTTACATGTCAGCCATAAGCAGCGGCGGCGCATAGGGTCCATGCTCTGTATGCATATAAATGTTATCACTAATTATGCGTACATTGTAAAATACAGCCCAAATGCAAGACTGTGAATGCACATTTTTCTAGTTTTGGTGTACACAGCTAAACACTACAGACCAAAATTAAGAAATGTGTATGGGCCAATAGCATGCAATACTGTTGTGTTCAGATATGTATAAATGATGGATGTGAACGCAGCACATTGAACTCCTGTGCACATGAGCCCTAATGTCCATAGACTGCCCACGAGGTGCATTCTTAGGTAGAGGATAAGGAGCTGTAAAAGTTAATTTGCACAATTGATTTGGGTCAGGTTTAATTATTTGTTATATTTAGTGATACACTTAGGGATTTTTTATTTGTAGAGCCAGAGTTAATAATATTTTTTTCCCTCTACCTTACAGGACATTATGAACAGTGAGAAGAGTTATGATTCCCTGCCGAACTTTACCGCTGCAGATTGTGAGTACAGCGCTCTAGTCTGACTGATATTTCTTATTGGTCACAGTGGACATTAAAGGAGAACTATGAGGTGAGTGATACCCACTCATCCTCATAGTTAGAGCCGATGTGTGACATTGAAACTGTCACAGGTTGGCTCTATTGATCGGGAAGTGAGCGAACACATACTGTCGCTCGCTCACTTCCCGATCATCTCCCTGCAGAGAGCGGTAACTGTCAGTCACTACTCCCCACAGGGATTCCCCCCTCTCCGATCCTCCAGCGCTGAGTGGAAGAACAGATGGGGAGGGGGCGAGCACAGCTGGCTCTACCTCTAGATAGGCAGAGCCCACTGTCAATCAGCCAGCGGGGTGGATCTCGACAGAATTGTTGTGATCCGTCCCAGCTGCAGCGCTCTCCGCATATAGCGGTCAATAGCCCGCTATATACTGAGCTTTGGATCACGGGAGGACGTTAGTATATGTCCTACCGTGACCCTAAAGAGAACTATATGATAAAAAGGTTACCCCATAGTTCTCTTTTTGGTAAAAAATGACTTCAAGTTCTCATGTTCCATGTGATGCTTTCATTACTAACATCTAAACTGCACACTGTCCTGTAGAGGGCTACAGTAGGGCCCAGCTGGCTGATGCCTTTCTTTTTATTTATGACCAGTCCGTGCCTCCGTCTCATGCAGTGCTATAGTAAAAATATGGAGGTAATAGTGAAAGTACTGTGGAGCCCACTTTAGGATATAGGTTAGTGTTTGCAGGATCTAGCTGCTCTTTTTTGTAATAATATAAGTAGGGAACAGATCCAAAAGTTTTTGCAGCTGCCGCTCCAGGCTCGTTCCCGTGACGCACTGTGATCTCAATACAAATTAGTAAACTGAACATGAGATTGTAGTACATCACAGGAGCGAGCTTGGAGTGGTGGATACTTTGCAACACACACAGGGGCCATGGGGAGCAAAAGTATCCCCCCTCCAGAAGGAAGGACAATGTCAGCACCAATTCAGAGATGATTTGAGATCTACAGCCGAGTGATACACAAATGAGACCTAATGTCTGAGTTTAGTTTCACTTTAATTTGTACACATATAAGCCCTCGTTCACACCTGAACGTTTTGTAGCGCGTTCTACGCTCGACGAACGCTCTACAAAACGCTCAAAAATATAAATCCCATTGTATTCAATGGTCTCGTTCCCACCTTGGCGTATTTCCGCCCATCCCTAACGCGCTACAAAACAGTCCACGCCTGAAAAGGTACATGTACTACTTTGGGCCGTTTTGTTGCGCGTTTCCATTGGGATACTGCCAAGTAGCCTTCGGAAACGAGCGTATGTCGCGCGACTTTTTTACCGCGAATCGCGGTAAAAAAGCGCGCAACAGACGCGCATATGCAATACGCCTAGGTGTGAACGAGACCTTAGGGATAGACTGATACTGATACCGAGAGTTTGGGCAAGTACTTGTACCCGCCCAAATGCTCCGATCCCGGAACTTCCGGTCTGAGGAAGATTTCCTCTGACCGGCAGGGCTGTAGGGGAACATGGAACTGGCTTCCTGGGTAATCAGGAAGCCGGGTGGCGAGTAATGACCTAACCCGCCGCCTGGGTTCCTGATTGCCCGGGAAGCCAGCTGCATGCCAGCGGAAGCCCCGGTATGAGTACCGAAAGCAAAATATCGCTACTCATACTCGATACCGAAATACCGGTAACGGTGCGTCCCAAACACGTATCATTGTGACAACCTCACTACATTTCATCATCTACATTTTCTCTATAATATATTTACACTGAGTGAAAGGACTTTGCCACTTTCTTTTTCCAAAAAAAGGGAAGCTTATTCAAACATTACAACATTTTTCTCAGAGGGATTTTGTTTTTACACAGTTAGTCCCGGTTCACACCTGGGCGTTTTTGTAGCGCGTTAGAACGCTCTGCAAAACGCTCAAACACCGAAATCCCATTATTTCCTATGGGTATGGTTCAGCGGATGATCTTTTCACACAAGCTGCAAGTAAGTAGTATGCCTTAAAGTGGACCACTTTCAGGGTGCTTCTCCATAAAGGATCCTGTGGGGTGGAATAAAGACGTAATATATTCACTTTTCACTGACTTCTATGGTGCAGGCGTCACAGGAAGACGCTGCAGCACAGTGCAGGATCGCTTTCTCGCAACATTTGGGCTACTCTACATTTGGAATGGGAAATTTATAGATAAAATACATATATGAGAGCAGTTTTAAAAGGCCGAAGGATTTATATTTCTGTCCATTAAGTCCTGAGATTTACACAGCTCTGCCCCACAGTACAAGCCCTGTCTGCCAGGGCAGGCCTCTTGATTTACCATTGTCTAACACTTTCAGGCCTTGTCTCTCCCCCAACCTCTGGCTGGATACAAAAAAAGGAGAAGCAGCATGCTGCTGAGCTCATTTCTCTGCTCTCTCTCCTTTTATCCGCATGTCCCTTGCTAGCACATGAGCACTGCAACACACCTGACTGACTCCTTGTGCTGTCTCTAACAATCCCAGTCTGAGTTCTGCTGTGCAGGGGATTGTATGAGGTTGATACCAAGTCAAATTCAGATACTTACACCTCTTGACTCTCAAACATACACTTGTGAATCTATTGGTGAATACATAGCTGCATAAATGTTTATCTATTCTGTTTCTTTATTTGCCCTCTGAGGAGAATTATTTTTGAACGTCTCTGGAAAAGACTGAACAGTTCTGCCTTTGCACATCCAGTTTGCTACTACAGAGACTGTAGGTACCAGAGTTAAGGTCACACTTTTCCTGTGTACAAGGACTGGGTCAGGAAAGACCAATGTCAAATGTTTGGAGCCTCTCCAGGTCCATCCTGGGCTTCTGTTGAGGTGATCAGTAAAGCCATTGACCTTTACAGTGTGTATACTGGTGTCAGCATCCTTCCATCATCAAGCAAAGTAATACCTAAATGTCAGTCTAGGTTTCCCTAATGCGGGCTGTACATTCATATCACAGTTTAAATAATGAATTGTTTATAAAGTGACATGATAAAAAAAAAATTGTGGGTCTTTTGAATAAAGTTTAACATTCTGTTCCTATTTCACAAAGGTCTTAGGCTTCTGGGTATTGGAAGGAACCAGTACATAGACCTGATGAACCAATGTAGATCATCAAAGGTAAGATGTATATTATTCCCTATATAACACTGAATTGTTAGATTTAAGCATTTTGCATGTAAATTCAACACAGGTTCAAGGGATAGTAGGCACTCCCTGGTGAGCTGGTGTTTAGTGATTGTTTTACAAAGGGTGACAGGGAGGGGAGCAGCTGATTACATTTTCCTTTGGTGAAAATTTGGAGAAATTTTCAGAAGGTTGGCATCCCTTGTAGTTCTTTCATGACTGGTCGCAGTAATCCTGATAGGAACAAACCATCTGCAAACTCACGTTAATACTTTCCTAGATATCCTATCTATCCTATCTATCCTATCTATCCTATCTATCCTATCTATCCTATCTATCCTATCTATCCTATCTATCCTATCTATCCTTTCTATCTATCCAATCCCATCCTATCCCATCCTATCTATCACCAGCTGATAGTGTTGCAGCATTTCCCCATTTGACATCTCTGGTGATTAGCCACTAGCACTGTGTAGTCTAGAGTCAGTTGGCACTTCTATATAACCAGAGGTATTGAGCATTTTAGAGAGCAGCAGTCAAAGGAATGGCAGGGCTGTGATGGTAAAGGTAAGTGTAAGAAATTCTAAAAAAAAATTTCACCTAGTCATTGTGTGTCATGGAGTGATACATTAGAGATCTATTTAAACCATTTTTTGTATGTCTGCCCCATAGAAATTCTTCAGGAGGAAAACCGCTCGTGACTTGCTGCCAGTGAAGCCTGTGGACATAACAATAGAGCCGTGGTGGGTGGTGCAGTCTGGGTACATCACTGAAGATGACATCAAGGTACTATGTCTGAAGCTCTAGCTTTCATTTTGAATACACCTCAACCAATATCAGTTTGGTTTTCTGTTATTCCCTGTAAAAGCAAAAGCTATCATGGCCCGGTCACACTTTTCCACTTGAAAAGACTGGTTATTTACTGCAATGTTTATTAAAATTCTGCTACACTCTGTCCACAGAGACCCAGTTATTCCTTCACTAGCCACCACTGTCTTGGAAAGTCAGGCTGTCAGTCGCAGCCCACATGTCAAAAGCACCTCTGCCCTGTGTCACTTCTCTTTGTATAAGTCAGCAGCCGGGGGGGAGGGGGGTTATAGATGAAATGAGGGCTTGGTTGCGTTTTTTACTTTTTTTTTTTTTACATAAAGTAAAAATGTGCATTTCAGTAACCTAGCTATTTGGCCTGCTTGGACTACACATTTTGGGGAATGAAGGAGTACGTTTGAAACGTCTAATGAGTGGATTATGAAAGTTCACCTTTTAAAATAAACTCCAGGCCTGACCGCTTTTCCTGTGTCCCAGCTCCTGAGAGTGCATAACCGTATCAAATAAGGGACCTACTAATTAAAAGAAATGTAAATAATTAGGGATGCACCGATACTGTTTTTTCGGTATGAGTACGAGTACCGGTTTGTTTGTTTTTCGGTACTCGCCAATACCGGAAGTCCCATTAAGAGAGCCGGGCGGTGTGTAATGACCCAAAATGTGCAGTTGAAGCAGGCCAAATAGCTAGGTTACTGAAATGCCAGCGGGAAACCGGCTCCATGCTTCCTCGTCGCCAGATGACGAGGAAGCATGGAGCTTTCTGGCCAATCAGGAGTGAGGATCGTCAACACCGATAGTGACGAGGGAGCATGGAACCGGCTTCCTAACCAATCAGGAAGCTGGGTGGAGTGTAATGACTTGCCGTCCGGCTTCCTGATAGCGGATGTTCCGTCATCAGGATAAGCATCGGAGAGTATTTGAGCGAGTACGAGTACTTGCCTAAATACTTGATATCGATGCTAGTATCGCTATCTGTGCATACGGATCATTTTAATATAAATAAATATAATATAATACATAACATAAATAATAACCAAACTTTGTTCTGCCCTTGTATGTCTTCGTGTTGGGTGAATATTACCATGGCAATTTAAATTTTAGAAGAACATTAAATGAAACCTAAAGGCACTCGTAGAATATGGGAAGGCAATCGCCCAGTCTTGCTGTTTTGGCTGTATGATGCTATGATGTCTCTGGGTGGAGTTCCTTGAGAACTTGGTTAGAGGGCAGCTCGATTATGCCTGTTGATTGAGCTGCTATGTATTCTCAATGGAGACTTAAAGCCCAAATCTGGACAAGATAATTTATTTAGCATGGCTGCAGGATGTGTCTCCTGAATGGCCAAGCGGGGAGCAATGTGAAGACAAAAACCAGCAGTGGTGTCTATAGGACCTTCATCATCCTAGTCTGGAGTAGGCTGGAGGTACAGAGAGAGCTTTACTATGTGGGATCACTAAAAACTCTTTCAGCAATTTAAAGACTGGGGAAATTGCTTTAGAGTTCAGGTAAAGATATACTAACACATCTAAAGCTACTGAAATGTTTGTGATCGGAGTTACGCTTCAACTCTCCCACAACCTAACTTTCTTATTGCTGCCATAGTCATTTCTGTGCATAGTAAAGGTGACGGTTTTGACTGGTCAGGCCAGGATGAAGTAACTCCTGTGCAAGTTCAAGGGAGTTAATTCATCACAGGATTGTACACTGAGTGGCACATGTACAGCGTGAAAAGCTTACGAGGAGGAAGGTAAAAATCCTTGCAGAATCCCAATGTCTGTTACCCTTCTGTTTGTTTGCTTGGGTTGGTGGAGGTTCTGCCCCTAACCTCCTATAACAAATGCCTGTTAAGGATCCTTTTTTTTTATGCTAAGAAAGGCATACTTTTATTATGGAAATCCTCTTCACCTCCTACTCTAGACGGATGGAAACAGCTGGATGATGACATCCTTCGGGTCTATAAAATCACCTATGAAAAACAAGGTAGACCCCAATTCTTTGACGGTGTGTGGGGACCCTGGCTATACTCTACCCACACTATCCCTCTTACACTTTAATGGGTTGCTAATAGTGTATCCCCTTCTTCTTTTTATGCTCATTCCTCTCTTATTTTTTCCCACTATGAAGGTGTACACATACTGTGGTTTCCCTTTTTTAAATGTATTCACTTATTCTACTGAATGAGAGGCATACATCGTTTTGATTATTGTAAGTTGCTTATTTTTGTTCTTGCATGTTTTTGCAGCATGTTTTTTGCACTTCTAAAATCAATAAAAGCGAACTTAAAAAAAAAATATTAAAAATCCTCGCAGAAGAGACCTAGTAGGTCTTTTCTACAATATAAAAACCTTCCTGCTCAAAAATGTAAACATTTTGCCTAAAGTTCCTCTTTAAAATTGCCCTGCTTCAGCTTTGTGATGCCCGTGAGTTCCCTCACTGTTGCTGACATCCTTAGACCTGCTTTTTTTTTAGCTTCAGGATCTTTGCCCATATTGACTGCCCAAGCTAGGATGACACAACTCCAGTGCATGCGAAAAGAAGTTAATTGATCCTGGGTGCGCATGCGCAGCTCAGTGAACATTGAGCAATAAAGAAAAACCTTCTTCAGGCGTTACATCTTGCCTACATTTATTTTAACAAGTTACTTGAATGTATCTTATTTGTGTATCACTCGGCTGTAGACCCTCAAATCATCTCTGAATTAGTGCTGACACTGTCCTTCCTTCTGGAGGGGGGCTACTTTTGTTCCCCATGGTCCCTGTGTGTGTTGTAAAGTAGTCACCGGTCCAAGCTTATTCCTGTGATGGACTACAATCTCAATACAAATGAGTAATCTAAACATGAGATTGTTGTCCATCACGGGAGCAAGCTTGGACCGGTGACTACTTTACAACACACACAGGGACCATGGGGAACAAAAGTAGCCCCCCTCCAGAAGGAAGGACAGTGTCAGCACCAATTCAGAGATGATTTGAGGATCTGCAGCCGAGTGATACACAAATAAGATACATTTTTGTTAATAGTTAAGGTACCTTTAAGATTTAACTCCTGAGTTTAGTGTCACATTAACATTTTTTCCTAAAGGTCTGCTTTAAAATTGCGGATATAAAACACAGTAAATCCTTCATGATTAGAAAAAAAAAAGATATGACTGCTGTTACATTTCCTGTCCTTTTTTTTTGGCGGGTTTTATCTTCTACATATTTTTCAATCTATTTGTTCTTTAGATCTGTGGCACAGCAGAGAAAAGAGCGATCGATAAGATCATTGACTCTGGGCCTCAGCTGGCTGGTTCTCTGGAGTACAACGTGGTTCATAGTAAGTTTCTGCATCATAACTGCAACCTCTACAGTATTTTTCCTTGTTTGAAGGCTGACTTTCTTTACAACCTGACTGTACAATCTCATTTAGATTTGCCAATGACTATGCAGTGTATGGCACGCCTACAAATACATTTATGTTCATGTTGGGTAAATTTGGAATGATTACTTTGAACTGATTAAGGGGTAGGTATAGCCAAAACCTTTTTTAAGACTTAAAGGAGAACTATGGGGTCAGTGTTTTTCCCCATAGTTCTCCTAAGGGTAACGTTAGGACACAAACTAGCGTCCTCCCATCACCCAAAGCTCAGTATACAGCGAGCTGTATACTGAGACGCTGCAGCTGGGACGGATCCTGACAATACTGTCTGGATCCACCCAGCTGCATGAGTGACAGCTGGCTCTGCCTATCTAGAGACAGAGCCAGCTGTCCGTTCCGCCAGTCAGCGCTGGAGGATCGGGGGGGAATCCCTGCAGGGAGCGGTGACTGACAGTCATGGCTCTCTGCAGGGAGATGATCGAGAAGTGAGCGAGCGACGGTATGTGTTCGCTCACTTCCCGATCCATCCGACGTGTGACAGTTTCATTGTCACACGTCGGCTCCAACTATGAGGCTGAGTGATTTTCACTCGCCTCATAGTTCTCCGTTTAAATAGAATAGGTAAGGGTTAGAACCCGTCAGATTTTTGTTGCTCCACATGCTAAAAAGTCTAATGTGAGCTGGACGTTTGGTCTTACGTCCCCATTAGACATTTTATACATGGATCCTAAACTCTGTTTTTGTTGGGAGCGGCATCACTGGAACCACTGTGCCCTGTATAAATCTGAAAAATGTCAAGACACCGGCACGCCAAACTTACTGCTGATCATGTCTTTGACACACGTGTATAATATCACATAAAAGCCATGTTTCTGGGCCACGCAGGGTCCTCCTTATCAGGCAAATCACTATGTGATGTCATTGCATTTTTAAGATTTCACTCCTGAGTTTAAATCTTAATGAACATCATTTAATGTCTTTTAGCTCTTTATAATAAAGGATTCGTATATCTTGATGTACCAATCTCAGATGACAGTTGTATAGCTGGTAAGTAGCCATTTCAATCCAGGACTTTATTTCTCTTGTTCCTCTGCAAGAAAAATGCAATCGCTGATATTTTTAACCTCTTATGGCCAATATTAAACCAAATGGTCAAACCATGCACATTCAAGTGTCTGGATTTGACCTAATTTGGCGCCATCAGCTAGGACTTATTTCAGTTTGTGGAGCAGGTATGAATATCGGAACATGGAAATGATGATCTTGGGATAAAATATTAATATGTATTGCAACAAATGTAAACTTTGAGAATGCATTAGAATTGAACACGGCAGAGCTCTATAGGGATTACTGGTGAATGAATAAATTAACTTCATATATTCACTTTACAAAACGGCTGTTTCACATGATCAGTTCTGGTGAATGTAGTGTGAGTATTTTAAAAGTACAGTGGTACCTCGGTTCACGAACGCTTCTGTTTGCGAACAGGAACTTTAGCAGTATTTTGCCTCCGTTCGGGTGACGAACACAACCGCAGCCATTTTCCCTGCTCTGACACATGGTCATGGCTTCCTCTAGTCGAGATCACAGTTTGATTCGGTTCACGACCAAATCGGTTTGCGACCAGAATCGCGGAACGAATTAAGTTCGTGAACCGAGGTACCACTGTACTTGAAAAATTGTCTTTTTTTCGAGCCAGGCGGTGTCGGCAGGGCAGATTGAATTTGATCAGATTCTGCAGGAAACTTTTTTTTTTCTTTAGTTTTCGATCTTAGTCCACTTAGATGAATTTTCTGAAGTGAAGTGCTAAGTGTCTTCCTCGGAATTATAATTCAGTGTGTGATGTCTTTTCAGTGCCTCCCCTTGAAGGGTTTGTGATGAACCGGCTACAAGGAGACTATTTTGAAACTCTTCTCTATAAGATATTTGTGTCTATTGATGAACATACAAATGTGGCAGAGGTAAGCTGACACTCTTATCACCTTCTTTAATGGTGAATACGATTGGGTGCTTTCAGATATTTGCATGATTGAAAAGCTATTTTTAGCCCGCAGTATTCAAAGCTGCAACTTGTTTTCATTTTTACTCTGATTTGTTTTCTAGCTCTCAAATGTCCTGGAGATCGACCTGTCTCTTGTAAAGGTAAGGTTTGCAATTTGCTGCTTTCAGTAAAATAGGCGCCTCATTATCTTTGACCTGTTAGTTTCATCCACAAACAGCTTGTGCACATTCACAAGACTTCTGAACCTGCTACCAATAAACATCTGTAATCCTTTGTGGCTTTATCTTCAGGCATTATTGGTTAAAAAAATAGATTACAAGTCAGTGGGGTGCCTGAATTATTTGGTTTATACCAGTGGGGGAACTCATTAAATGTTTCCTAAATGAGTACCTGCTTTAATAAACTTGAAAAAAAGTGCTGTACAATATTACCCTCTAGACCAGGGGTGGGTTACTCGACCCTTCAGCTGTGCTTTCACTATGAATTCCAACATGCCTCTCCCTCTTTGTCCGTCTTGCAATGCCTCATGGGAATTGTAATTCCACAAAAGCTGGAGGGCTGCAGTTGCCCACCCCTGGCTGACTGTGCCATCTAATTTTTTGGGCCCCCTTATTTCCTATATACGGGTTAGTTTTACCTTGGTATGCATTTGCGTCTGTTCCTGAAAATGGCACCCATTAGCCATAATGGTGATCCCTGTCTGTTCTCCTTTTTTATGATCCCAGCTCTCCCTAGATGGTGACAAATTTGCTTATTTAAATTAAAAAGGTCCTGTTAAGGTGTATGTAAACAATTAACTTTACAACAGGTATTTATATAGTGCTGACAATTTACACAGCGCTTTACATAGTAGCACATTCACAGTCCCTTGCCTCAATGAGCTTACAATCAAAGGTCTCTATCTCACATGCATACATGCAGGGCTGATTTAGACAGGAGCCAATTAACCTTCCAGCATGTCTTTGGAGTGTGGGAGGAAACCGGAGTACCCAGGTGAAACCCACACAAGTACAGGGAGAACATACAAACTCCTTGCAGATAGTGTCCTGACTGGGATATGAACTGGGGACCCCCAGTACTGCAAGGTGGAGGTGCTAGCCACTGCGCCATTTCTCTTATTTGCTCCTTTGGTAGTATCTAAAAGTGTTATCTCAACCAGTCTTATCTTCCTGCCCAGGCTACCTCTGTGAACTACAGAATATGTAATGCAATACTAGCACACCTTCTTTGCTAGGGTGACAGCACTGCTCCTCTATAAATACAGTACAGTGAGTGAGAATTGTCACCCTAGGACATGAGGTGTGTTACTGGCAGGATCAGCAGGTTAAAATAAAAAGGAAACAAAATCTGAAAAAACTGATGCAGCCACCACATCCAAGAAATAGTGAGTTTCAATATATTTCACTTTGTTCTTGGTTTAGATTTTAAGTTGTCTGTTACCTGGTACTCCCATCTTGTGCTGGAGCTGCTGCTGGTCAACATCAGGGGTGTACAATTCCTATTGCCTGATGCCTGGGACATGTAGTTCCCGGTGCCAGGCAGGTGGTTTTTTTTTTCTACATTTTGGCTAAATGTAGAGCGGGGGGAGCTGCTGCTCGGTTTATACAAGTGATCTGGGCAGCTACACAGCCGCCCAGATCACTTGTAGCAGCCTGCTTGTCCGTCAGGTGACCCCGCTGACTAATGAGAAGCACTTCTTAGCACCGTTAAATACGGTTTTGGTTAAAATAATTTTTTGTATCAGGACAAATAGATTGTCATGAGGGGCACGTAGATTAGGCCCCCGCTTTAGTCCTTGGACTTTTTTTTTTTTTTTTTAATTTCCACATCCCTGAACATACAATAGTGGTGTTGGCAGGTGCTAAGGCATATCAGAGTTGTGCATCATTGTACACAGAAAGGTTCCTTCCCTGAACTACTAGTGCTGTTTCCAGTGCAAGAAGGGTGCCTCACATCTGTACTGACAGGTTCCTTTTAAAACCTTATTTGAGTTTGTGAAAGTAGAACACATGGTGTTAATTTTCTGTTTCTAGAATGCCGTCTCCATGTACTGCCGCTTGGGGTTCGCCCTTAAAAAGGGGCAGGTGATAAATCCGGATCAGCTGCACCTATCGTGGAGGAACGTCCCATCTGTAAATAGACTGAAGTAACTATTGTCACATTTATCTTGCACTGATTGTGTTCTTCTCCCCTCTCTGTGTTCTTCCCCCCTCTCTGTGTTCTTCCCCCCTCTTTGCTTGTATACAACAGAAAATTACAGAAAATGAAGATGCATAAAAAGTGATATCTGCATAGTACAGAGTATAATTCATATTATCTGTATAAAAATTTAAATTTCACCGACACGAACACCCGCGACTATTCATGAACACCGCCCAGATACACTCATGAGGCAGCTCCCACTGGTCAGGGTTAACCGGCATTCTATAAAACACAAAACAAAAGGAGCGCCTGCATAGTGTAAAAGAGTTTTAATGAAGAAAAAGAACAGCTAAGATTGTACGGTACTTGCATACGACTTTTAGATTCGAGCATGTAATATGACTTCTTGGGTAAATCAGGATGGAAAAATGGAAGAGTTAGTGCTACACCAAAGCCTTGTAACTGCAGGTCTTCCACGGGTTAAGTTGTTTGTAAGTACAATCTTAGATATTACCAGTGTGTCTGTTTATCACAGTTGACACTCACTAATGTGTTTCACATATTCTATACGCTTGATTTGAAAGATTCCTCAAATCTGACGTTTAATTGCATGTTTCATTTCCTGGAACATAATCTCACTCCCAGGGATTCTGTATACCATAAGATTATATTAAAATCTCCAAAAAAGATGGAAGTAACAAAGGATATATTAATATGAAAATGTTATCCTCCCTTCTATAGACTGGTCAAATTGCTGCATAGCCAGTTCCTATGCTTGAAAGCAAACCTTTGGGCTACGATTATTGGAACCAATTGTGATGCAGGGAACATGGGAAGAGGGTGGGGCTGAGCCAGGACCAGGGAGTGCAAGCTAATGACACCTTACATCCAGTCAGTAGCTATCTTCCATTGTCCACATTGCCCTAATCAAGTGTAAGGTGAAGGTCTTTTTAGTGAGCTCAAAACTTCAGAATGTGCACTTTCTAATTCACAGAAGCACTTTAGACCCACAGAAGATGCTTTTGTCCTGGGAGAGTACAGATAGCAAAAGCCCTGTACAAGATCTGGCATCTTCGGCCACCGATACTGATACAACCAGCCAGGAAGACCAAGGTAAGAAGACCCATGTATTTCACATGCTTTAAATGGCAAAAGGACTTAAAGTGACATTAAACCCTCAGATTTTTTTAACATAAAACAATACTGTAATGTGTGCCTTACTGTAATCCATTGTTGTTTCCCTTCTCTTTGCTGCTCTTCCTTTTAAATCTGTATCTATTACCTTGCTGGGCAGAACTTCTGTTTTGCAGCAGACTGCCTTGTCTCTGAAATGGATACATGGTGTCTGTGTGTAGGTTCACAACCTGAGCCAGCACTACAGGAAGAGGCACTCAACTGCAAAGGGAAGTTCTCCCCCAGCATGAGAAGACATGAGGATTTAAAAGGAAGAGCAGCAAAGAGAAGGGAAGCTACCATGGATTACAGTAAGGCGCACATTACAGTATTGGTTTATGTTAAAAAATCAGAGGGTTTAATGTCACTTTAAGATGTCATGTATAAACACATCTGAGATACAGGACTGTGACCCCCAAGAAAGAACAATTTACTTCTTTTGTAAACTTTTTTTTGGAAATGCTGATGGTTTGCTATAGGTGCTAACACTCTCCTTCCTTATGAAGGGTGACTACTTTTGCTCCCATGGTCCCTGTGTGTGTTGTAAAGTAGTCACCGCTCCAAGCTCACTCCTGTGATGTTCTACAATCTCAATACAAATTACTAAACGTGAGATTGTAGTCCATCACAGGAGTGAGCTTGGAGCGGTGACTACTTTACAACTCCCGCAGGGACCATGGGGAACAAAAGTAGCCCCCCTCCAGAAGGAAGGACAGTGTCAGCACCAATTCAGAGATGATTTGAGGATCTACAGCCGAGTGATACACAAATAAGATAAATTTTTAATAGTTAACCCCTTCTTGACTGACTGGGCTGTTTAAACAGACTCAGCAGCCGCCGGGACTCTGTTTGAACTTATAAAGCTGACTGTCGGCTTTACAACAGAAGTGATTCTGGCGAGTTACCTGTCGCCAGATAGCTTCTGTGTCCCGAAGAAGGGACCACCACCCCCCCGCCGGACACCCCTGCCGTGCTTCCCGGGCTCCGTTGCCCCTCCTACGGGCCCTGGACCGGCTTCCTTGGTGTCCGCGGGGAGCTGGGGAGGAGATCGACGAACTTCCGTTCATCGATCCCCTCCCCGTTCTATGGGACCGGGAGCAATGCAGATTGCATCACTTCCGGTCCCTGGGCTGTCAGTTCTGGGCTCCTGGAGCCCAGCTATAAGCGATCTGCACTTCAATAGCTTATTTCTAGTGTAAAGGTGACACTGGAGGTCTTTTGGACCCCCAGCATCACCTTAAAGAGTACCTGTCACCACCATCTGCTATCACATGGGGGGCTTGTAAGCACCCCTATGTGATAGCAGTCAAAGTAAAGTTTAAAAAAAAAACAAAAACAGTTTTTAAAATTAAATATAATAATAATACAAAATAATATAATACTAATAAAAAATGTTTTTTTTAAAGTTCCCGCCCCTGCGAGCATGCGCGTTGCCACGTAAACACGCGTCGTTGCGCCTATGTATGAAAACGACGAACGCGCTACACATGTTGGGTATCGCAGCGCACGCCGGAGTGAGAGCAATAATTCTAGGGCCAGTATTTTGGGGTATCTCTAAATTGATGACCTGTGGGGGCTTTTAAAGCGTCTTCTATGGACTTTTTGGGGTACTGCAGTTTTTCGCCGTTTCACGGACGCACGCAATTTGTTTTACTCGTTGTAACCTCATCTTTTATATTTCATTAAACAAATTGGTATTTTGTTGTGTTTTGGGGCATTTAATTAAATTTGCGCAACATAAAAATTTGCAACTACCACCATTTTATTCTATAGGGTCTTGGCATTCAGAAAATATATAATGTTTGGGGGTTTTAAGTAATTTTCAGGCCTAAAATGTGGAATATAACATGGGTGCAAAAGATTAAAGAAAGGCCTCAGTCATGAAGGGGTTAAGGTAGCTGAATACATTTTTAGGGTTTAACTCCTGGGTTTAGTGTCACTTTAAATATTATTTCAGAGTTTTTATTCTGTTCTTTGACTTTCTAACAGCAGACACATCAAGCGTTAGCAGCCTCAACTTAACCAGCGGACACATGAAACGTTTCGCCTTTCTGTTTGATTCAACTCTCACTGCCTTCTTGATGATGGGGAATCTGTCACCGGTAAGATATTTATTGACCTTTAAATGTGTGATCCGATTTCTCCATAGGCTGCAATTTCATTACAGAGGTAACAAAGATAACTCATGTTGGATTTATTCTGTCATCACAGCTTTATCTCAGGAAAGTTGTTTTTTTCCCCTCCGTTTCATGGTTCCCATTGGAAATGAATCAGTTTTTGTCTCACTTGCTAGGTTTTTGAATAAGTGTGTTGAGTAACTTGCTTCGATGGGTACAGAGGTCAGCGTGAGGTGATGGGGATCAGAAAGCCCCTAACTACAGCACCGCATTGCTTTTTTTTAAAAAAAAAAAGCTGTTTAAAAGTAATCTCTTAGATGCTTTATTGGAATCCCGTACTATGGCAGAATTAGGGTTGCCATTGCAGACTTCCCATTCTTAAAGTGACCTTGCCACCTAAACATTTTACAATATTTTTAGATATTAAAATAATAGTACTTTATTGCTACAACAGGTGGAAAAATTAAACATTTTTGGGGTGGGTTTTTGATTCTTCTTTTCCGGTTGCTGCTGCTCCTGGCTGCTACATCACTGCCAAATGACATCTCTGTAGGTGTATGCTAGAAAACAGCTCCCAGACACAGCCTCTGCATATATAAACAAAGAGCACCCAGGCTGTGATTGGGAGCTGTACACTCTCTGTACAGCCTTTATTCAGTCCTATAGGAAAATTGGGAGTTGTACGTTATCTGAACACTCTTTATTTAATCCTATAGGGTGATTTGGAGCTGTATACTCTCTCTGCACTAGTTATTCAAACCTATAGGAATATTGGAAGCTGTACACTCTCTGTATGCTCTTTATTCAGTTCTATAGGGAGATCGGGAGCTGTAGACTCTTCAATCATATTGAGAGTTCGTACTCCACTGTAGCATGATGTACAAACACTATATAGAATTAAATAGAGAATGTACAGCGCATGCACGGGCCTGGCTCAGAAGATTTTGACAAGCGGCTCTGCAGCTTTGTGGACAATATCTCAGTGGATCAGGGACAGTGGGTTCATTGGGGCAGCCCATGGTACACTAATGATAATTGTAAAAAAAAAAAGTACAGTTGTCCTTTAGGAAAGCAATGCTATACTTTACCCTATCGCCAGTGGACATCATTTTGCCCCCTTAACCTCTCAGTGACCAGTGACATACATATACTTCATTGGCAGAGGGCCCATTTAAACAGACTCCGCTGGGACTCTGTTTACATTTGTAAAGCCGGCTGCTGGCTTTACAAAAGAGGCGATTCTGGTGGCTCAGCTGCTGCCAGATGGCTTCTACGGGCCGGTAAAGTGAAACATGGCTATTCTATTGTGTTTTGGGTCACTAAATTCAAATTAAGAGCATTTTTAAACTACATTTTTGGGTTTGATGTAGAGTTGCGCTAATATCGTGCAACATAAATATGTGCAACTGCCGCTGTTTAATTCTACAGGGTCTTGGCTTTCAGAAAATATATAATGTTTGGGGGTTTCAAAAGTAAATTTCAGGCTAAAATGTTGATTATGACATGGGCAAAAAAACTAAAAAAAGGCCTAGGCAGTGAAAGGGTCCTTAGGGGTTACTATACGTAACTGTGTTGGTTCTAAATCATTACTTCCTAAAAGGCATGGGTAAGTTGGAAAATGGTTCTGTATTTTAGGCTACATAACTTGGCACATGTTATCATTATTATAATTATACAGGATTTATATTGCGCCAACAGTTTGCGCAGCGTTTTACAATATAAGGAAGACATTACAATCACAAGACAAGATGGTAAAGAGGGCCCTGCCACTGAGGGCTTACAATCTAAAAGGGAGGGGCCAGTGATATATGAGGAGGGAGCTGTGTGGGGATGAATTGTTTGAGAACGTGATGGTTGAGTGGTTAGGTCGAAGTGGGATAGGCTTCCCTAAAGAGATGAGTCTTTAGGGATCGCCTAAAGGCAGTCAAGGTGGGCGACAGATGGACATGTTGGGGTAAAGAATTCCAGAGGATGGGAGAGACTCTGGAGAAGTCCTGGAGGCGAGCATGGGAGGAGTTGACAAGGGAGCTGGAAAGCAGTTGGCTTTGTTTGGCTGTGATGAATATTAACCTACTGGCAGTAGAAAATGACTGGGTGTCTTTTACCTCCTAAAAGCACTCTAGTAGATGGAGAAAGGGAGAATTTGCAGTATGCAGCATGTAACCTTTACTTATATGTTTCTGTGTACTAGAACCTAAAGAGCCATGCGGTGACCATGTTTGAAGTGGGAAAACTGTCAGATGAGTCTTTGGACAGTTTCTTGGTGGAGCTTGAAAAGGTGAGAAGTGTACAGAGCAATGGCTGACCCAGCACAGCATTCACGGTGGATTTGTTTTCTTTTTTTTCTACTCTAAAAATCTTTGTCCGTGTTTTTTTAGCTTTCCTTTTTCCAGAGCTGGAAGAATGCAGCTTCTATGGGTAGCAATAAACCTTCTTTGTTCTGATCATTTGTACCACCATATACAGCTAGATTAGCAACTGTAGATTGTGATGATGGCGAGCATGTGAAGTTGTGGTAGTAATGGATAAAGTGATCTCATTATCTGCTTGGCCTAGGTACAAAGCACAGGGGAAGGAGAAGCTCAGAGGTACTTTGATCATGCTCTCACCCTCCGGAACACCATCCTCTTTCTGCGGCACAACAAAGATCTTCTTGCACAACCTGATCAAGCTGCTGCAGGTAGCGAAATCTCTAAAGATAAGCCAGTGGTTACTGCAAGCGAATCTCGTCTTAGCCCGAACAGTATCTGGGATGCAGTTCTAGATCATTTACCATAACTATTCCAAGACTTGAAAATGGCAAACAATTGAACTCTGGAATTATTGTTCCTTTCAAACCTTTTTGCGGGCACAAACGGAGCGAATTAAGTCTTTTCTGCACTTCAAGCTACACAATTCTTAAAAGAGAACTATGGGGTAAGTGTTTTTCCCCATAGTTCTCTTTAGGGTCATGGGAGGACATATACTAACCTCCTCCCGTGACCCAAAGCTCAGTATATCAGGGCCTATTGCCAGTGATATACTGAGAACGCCGGAGCCGGGACAGATCCTGACAATACTATCGAGATCCACCATCCATCCGCCTATCTAGAGGCAGAGCCCAGCTGTGCCCATCCGTTCCTCCACTCAGCGCTGGAGGATCAGAGAGGGAAGGAGGAATACCTGCGGGGAGCGGTGACTGACAGTCGCCGCTCTCTGCAGGGAGATGATCAGAAAGTGAGCGAGCGACAGTATGCGTTCGCTCACTTCCCGATCAATAGAGCCGACCTGTGACAGCTTCTTTGTCACAGTTCGGCTCTAACTATGAGGATGAGTGGAAATCACTCACCTCATAGATCACCTTTTAATCATGGCAATCTCTTTGTAAATGTTGTCATTCAAATTAAGTCTGAACTAAGAACAGCAACAATAAAAAAAAAAATAGTCCCCTGCAATAGAAGAGCTAATATACCAACGTCCCTGGTGGTGGCCCATGTGTCCTACCTTCCCTCCGTTTTCGGGTTGCAGCCTCCAACAGTTTTTTTTTTCTTTGGCATTTAACACTTTCGGAAGGGTTGTATGCTTGTGGCTTCTTCCTCTAACCCCTAAGTTACCTCTGAGTCCTTTAGTGACATAGACGTTGGAGGAAGGTGCCGTAGGGTGTGACGGGGGACGCAGATATACAGCATTCCCAGAAGTGGTGAATGCCAAAAAGAGCAATGGAGGTTGAAGCGCTCGAACAGAGAGGAGGTAGGAGACATGGGTCAGAGAATGGCTTCTGCAGGGTAGTGTGGGTATGATTTCTTTTCTTTTTTTTTTTTAAGGAGATTCTTAGACTCTCTTTAATGCTGGCCATGCACTTTACAACCATCACACGACTTGAGTTGTGCGATGGTTGTAAAGTAATTAAAAGCTTGTACGATCTGCCCATCTTGGACAGGCAGATCGTATTTGCGATCATCGAAAGCCCGCCCCGCCGAGGGGCGGGCTTCCGATGACTCCAATGCCGCACGGGCAGTGTGCGTTTTGCGCACACCGGGCCGTGCGGCATTTGTCTCCCGAGAACGCCACTAACCCGCCGACAATAGTACTATTCTCGGCGGCTTTTTCGAGCCTGCTCGGGAGACAAAAGACGTGCGACCGTACAGTAGAAACGGTTGCACGCCTTCCATACACCTGCCGATTAACATACGATAGTGGGATTTCCCGCGATTATCGTACGATAATCGGCAGGTGTATGAGCACCTTAAGTCTTTGAAGCTGCAGTAATATGTATTGTATGTTATGTGTACAATGTACTGTTTTGTTGTCTGTATGGTTTTGTAGTACCTCTGAAGTCTGATTATAAATACACTGGAGTTCTTGAACTGTTCCTCTCCTTGGTTGGAGGTAGGGGTGTTCCATGAATATGCTGTAAAAAGCAGTTGTGTTCAGAGGTCATTTTTCTAATTTAGAACGTTGTGATGAGTGTTCCGGAAATCATAATGGGATTTCAGTCGCAGCATTATTTGTACAATGATCTGCAGTGACCTCTAGTAGCCAGATTTCAGCCTTGGATAATGGTAATGATCTTGTGTTGTGTAAACAGGTATACCACTGGACCTATTGCGATGTGAAAGCCTTTTGGGTCTGGACCCAGCAACCTGCAGCCGAGTATTAAATAAGAACTATTCTCTCCTGGTATCTATGGCACCTCTCACCAATGAGATACGACCCATCAGCAGCTGCACCCCACAGGTAAAGCTGTTCCATTTAAGATTTTTTTGGGTTTCTCCAGGATAGGTACACACTCTCATTTTCTTAAGTGGGTTGTTCAGTAATCTACAGCCACAGGCTTTGTAAGGTCCTGAGCCCTTAGCTGAAATTGGCTGTGCTGAGGAAAGCTGGTTGTTGGAGGCTATGCTATCATAGATAGTTGTTTACTTCTATGTGTATCTGTGGCTGCATTCTCCTTGGCACAGTAACACATCAATTTCCCCCCAAATGTCCCTCTGCATCTCTAGAGCATGTCCCACCCTCTGCATTTCTAGAGCATGTCCCCGCATTATTTTCCATTTTCTTTATTCCTGTAATAAGAAACAGCTTTTTATTACTCCTTGTGACATTACCAGGCTTGTACAGTTCTTGCAGAGTAGCAAAGACACTGTGTGCATATAAGTGATGTTTTTGGAGTCAGTAGAAAAAACTCATCTGCCAGGCAAAAATGATCACTTTTGCCTGATGGAGTCTTTTCAGTGACTCCAAAATGTTGCTTGTATGTGAACATTGAAAAAATTGCAGACAGGCACTGTACTGATGACCTACAAAGAATTTCCAGCCTCTCTCCCATTGTGGAGTTCCCAGCAGCATTAAGCAGAGCAAATTCCGTGACGCATCATAGGCTCCACAGCATGGCCTGCATTTTATGAATGAACTGGAAAATGTAGGCTGTGTTGTAAAGTTGTTTTTGTAGTGTCTGGTAGAATATATATATATATA